CATCTAGTTAGTACATCTCTATAACGGTGTCAATTAAACTGTGCGAAAAATTAAAAAATAGATAAAATATTTGAGGATATTGTTTTGCTGTATAAGAAAATTCAGTCCATACATAATAAAAATATTAGAAAGAAAGAAGTTGCAGCAGTTATAGATAGTATTATTATACATGTGTATATACATTCTGGTAAATTAACAGACAATTTTTTTCCATCACTATCATTTTTTATTCGTCACTGTTCAAATATTTCGAATTTTCACCTTCAAGAACCGCGGTGTCAACATTTTTAACATTAAGGCGATGTTTCGCATTGTATTAGCTATGTCCTGTCCAAATTTTGTTCGTGCAACTCTCTTGGTTTCGACAATGCAATACCTATATATGTTTTCAGACACNAGCCATACTCAGGAAAAATTTTAAATGATAGCTAAAAACCTTTTACAATAGTAATCTAATTCAGAATTAAAAATGACTAGATTTTGTCATAAAAATAGCAGCGACATGTTTTTGAACTGTGACTACAGATTTTTTATTTCACCAAAAAAGTATGTCAAAACAAAAAAAATGATTACCAGCAGAACTGTGTGCGATGATTTTTCTAAGTAAAATTTTTCTTTGAAAAAAAAAAGTGTTTCAGACCTGAAAAAATGAATATCTTGGAAACTTATTGATTTTTTTATCTAAACAAATTTGTGGTTATTTAAGACACAGAAAGATATTCTTTCACCAAGTTACGTTACAATTAAATTATTTTTGCGGAAATGAGAAATAAAAAATGAAAAATCAGAAAAACCTGTTTTTCGCATTTTTCTCGGAAATTTTGAGGTTATCTTAAAAAGTGACCTTTACAAAAGTTGTAGATTTTTGCATAACCTACAACTCTTGTAGTGGATACTTTTTTGTGTGACGTCAACTTCCGCCAGAAATGCCAATGATACAATTTTTCACAACTTTTCAACCCCCCAAATCAACTCTCCACCACCCCTGCTCACGCATTTATTATTTTTAGGTTTATTATAAGCCCTTTTACCATTTCCACTTATAAAAGTCCAGGTAACAATTTTTTTTTCTTCAAGTGTAATTTGGTTGGACTAAAATGGATCTTTAAAAAAGAAAAGTTTTATGTTTAGCTTGTTTTTATGCACGACTTAAGGATGAATCTATAACAATCGAAAGTCACTCAACTCTCAAGCATTTCTAGTGGACTTTAAAATTATGCCATCTATTAACAAAAAGCAGAATTAAGTTCTTCTTCTTCTTCTAAGTGAAAGCTAGACGTTATTTTGTTAATTGTTCGCATCGATTTATTTCACAGGTTTTTTTTATACAGTATAAGAAAAATGTTGATTTTAGAGATGTTTGCATTGGGTTATCTTACCTTCAGCATATCAGCCGCCTCTTTGCGCCTCTGAGCGATATGCTCGGACTCTATTTTGATTTTTTACATTGAAACACAATAAATAGACCGATTGAAATAACTCATTTAGAGGGAAAAAAGAAAATTGTTACCACCTGGACTTTTATAAGTGGAAATGGCAAAGGGGTTTATAATAAACGAAAAAAAATGAATACGTGAGCTGGGGCGGCGAAGGGTTGATTTGGGGGGCTGAAAAGTTGTGAAAAATTGCATCATTGGAATTTCTGACGAAAGTTGACTTCAATAAAAAAAAGTATCCAATACAAAAGTTGTAGATCATGCAAAAATCTACAACTTTTGTAGAGATCACTTTTTAACATAACCTCAAAATTTCCGATAAAAATGCGAAAACTGGTTTTTTTCTGATTTTTTTTTTTTATTTCTCATTTCCGCAAAAATAATTTAATTTTGAAGTTTTGAGGACACTTGGTGAAAGTATACCTTTCTGTATCTTAAATAACCACAAATTGTTTTAGATAAAAAAATCAAGAAGTTTCTGATATTCATTTTTTTCGGTCTGAAACAATTTTCCTTCAATGAAAAATTCTACTTAGAAAAATCATCGTACAGAGTTCTGCAAGTGATCATTTTTTCGTTTTAACATATACTTTTTGGTGAAATAAAAAATCTGTAATCGCAGTTCAAAAACATGTTCAAATATGTAAAAAAAATAAAAAATGACGCAACAATGAATTTTTCAGTAATTGATAATTTCTTTAAATTAAAAAAAAATTCAAAAATTTCAAATATGTCGCTGCTATTTTTATGCAAAATCTAGTCATTTTTAATTCTGAACTAAATGATATTACTATTGTAATCGCTTAAAAAGTTTTTAGCTTGTTTTAGCTATTATTATTTATATTATACAGGGTGTTCCTAAATAAGTGTCGCAACGGAAAACTGTAAATTCCTCTTGAAAAAAGAAACAGTTATTTCCTCTTCCATTTTTCTCTCCGGGCTTTCGTTTTCGAGATACACGGTGTCAAAACTTTAATTTTTTTTTAGTTTTTCGCCAGTAACTTAGGAATCGTTTGAACTACAGGACTGAGCTTTTGTACACACATTACCACTATTAATAGCTACTTTTTCGCACCCTTCTCNTTCAATACACAATGATGTAGGTACCTGTATGTTAAAGAAACTACACTATTTATAGACAATTATCAGTTCTAATCAGTTACAATTTCTTTAAACTCAACCTTCAAAATTTATTTATTTTTTTCATTTCAAACTGTGTCTAACGCACTTATGGAAATGCTCGAACTGTTATACATATACAATTAGGTATACAGGGTTGGAAAGTCCCCATGGTTCATCGACCGTTACGTGAGAACGATAAAGAACTCATAGAAATCCGTGCGATAGAGAAAGATGGCTATAATGAAGGCGTCTAATAGTCACCGCCCATTTCGCCCTTCCACAAATTAGATCCACTTCTTATTTGTGGAACGGCCGATGAACCATGGGGATTTTCCGACCCTGTATATAACATTTATCCTCTGATATCGTCTCTCTCTCTCTCCGTCCCTCCCCCCCTCTCTCTCTCTCAACACTATATCGAAATTACTATTACCCTTGATTAGCTCGCCTACTTGACATAACAATTAAAATTACTAGTAATATTTTTATATTTTCTGTTTTTGTAATCTCTCATAACTTTAAAGGTAATTTTCAAAGTGTTAGTAAAAATAGAAGTTTTGTAATTATATAAACTTTTTTAGTAACAATATGTTTCTCTTACTTCTCCCAAATCCAGAGAATTAACCACCAGTGATACTTTTTTTCAAAGATACACTTTCTCATTGTGCAGAATCCATGTACATCTAGTTAGTACATCTCTATAACGGTGTCAATTAAACTGTGCGAAAAATTAAAAAATAGATAAAATATTTGAGGATATTGTTTTGCTGTATAAGAAAATTCAGTCCATACATAATAAAAATATTAGAAAGAAAGAAGTTGCAGCAGTTATAGATAGTATTATTATACATGTGTATATACATTCTGGTAAATTAACAGACAATTTTTTTCCATCACTATCATTTTTTATTCGTCACTGTTCAAATATTTCGAATTTTCACCTTCAAGAACCGCGGTGTCAACATTTTTAACATTAAGGCGATGTTTCGCATTGTATTAGCTATGTCCTGTCCAAATTTTGTTCGTGCAACTCTCTTGGTTTCGACAATGCAATACCTATATATGTTTTTAGACAGGAAAATTGAATCATTTCAAATATTTCGAACTTTCACCAGCAATACCTATGTATGTTTTCCGTCACGAAAATTGAATAATTTCAAATATTTCGAATTTTCACCACCAAGAACGGCGGTGACAACATTTTTAACATTAAGGCGATGTTTCGCATTATGTATAGGCATTGCATTGTCGAAACCAAGAGAGTTGCACGAACAAAATTTGGACAGGACATAGCTAATATAATGGGAAACATCGCCTTAATGTTGAAAATGTTGTCACCGCCGTTCTTGCTGGTGAAAATTAGAAATATTTGAAATTATTCAATAAAAAAATGGAGGTTTACGTGTTAAATGAATAGGAAAATTTTAAAATCGAATAGCGAGTACCTACTTAAAATTAAAATGAAGAACTAAAATATGGTGAGGATTTTTTTCCATTGGTTAAATCAATACTTCGTCAATGGAGCCACCCTAATAAATATACCTATATGAAAACATGAAAACATATTTTGTTGTTTTTCTCCTAAATTAACCTCCAAGGCATATATTTTCTCCGTCGCTGTAATTTTTCGTTCCTCACTGTTGTCAGATGATCCTTCCTTTTCTATAGCTCCAGTATCTCCTAAAGTTCTATTTTATTTGTTGAAATTGATTCATCACTTCTAATCCTATTTTCTAAAATACAATTGATCTCTAAGGAGAAATATTTCTTATTTGCCTAACAGAAATTATCGAATTAGCTTCATGTAACATCTGCACAATTTCCTTTGCCTGGCTCTGAAAACTTCTTTTCGCTATTTTGTCTCTCTAAGAAGGTTATAATTTTCAAGTTCAGATTCATTCAGTTTGTTTTTGGATCATATTGAAATGATATTAGAATCACTACTTATTTTTTTATTAACTGCACTAATAATTTTGCTTTCCGTTACAGTCGGAAATAAGTATGTGGAACATATCGTTTCCTTCTCAATATGCGACTGGTCACTAGATGAAGTACATATTTCAACATTTATTAATACTGGATGATTTTCAGCTACATCAGAAGTCAGAGGTAGGGCCGGATTCACTCTCACTGCCTTTTCGAGCAACGTATACCTTTTCTGTTCCATGTTGCTGAAAACAAAAGTTTTCGATTAGAAGAATCTTTGTTAGAGTTCTAATACAACAGAAAAGGTATATGTTGCTCGAAAAAGGAGTGATAGTGAATCCGACCAACCCATATTCACAAGGAAACGAAATGTTCAACTTTGCTTATTCCAACTATAACAGAAGCAGAATTGTTAGTGTTATAAATAAAAAATTAGAAGTTATTTTGATATCAATCCAACACGTCCAAATTCTGAAAATTATAACCTTGAGGAGACATTTTATCCCGTAAATAAAGATGTTTTCAGAGTCAGGCAAGAAAATGCTGCAGATGCTAGTGAAGCTAATTTGCTGTTAGTAAAATAAGAAATATTTCTCATGAGAGATCTATTGTATCTTTAAAAAGTAAGATGGAAAATGATGAATCAATTTTAGCAGCGGAATAATAAAGCTTAGAGAAAAGAACTTTAGGAGTTACCGAAGTTATAGAGAAGGAAGGATCATCTGACGACAGTGAGGAATCAAAAATTACAGTGATTAAACAAAAAAACTGTCTTGGAAGTTAATTTAGAAGAAAATATTTTTCCTGATACATCTAAAGCAAAAACAGATTGTACTATCTTTGATTTTAAATTGCAGTCGTCTCTAGAGGAATCGTCTGTATTAAAAGAAGGTGCAATAGAGGACACTGACAAAAATATAAAAGAGACACCATCTAGTGAAATAAATGATTTTCAACAAGAAGAAATCCTTCAGAAATACCAACCATCAGAAGAATCGTCAAAGGACGAAATAGAGTCTACCGATAAACAAATTGAAAAAGAAGAGCCTTCCAAAGAAACTTCTGAAATACAATATGAGAAGGGACACAAAGACAATTCATCTGAATTTATAGAACAACCTAAATCAATAGAAGAGGAACAAGAATCCTTTAAGAAGGAGTCTGAGTTCGAATTTCAGAAACTCGAAATATGTCATAAGCATGCGGAATCTAGTTGTGAAGCAGAATTGGAAACATGCCTTATCTCAGAACAACCTCAAAAGCAATTAACATCAGATTGTGAAAATGAGGCTGAATTTAGGAAGGAGACAGAAAAACCTCAGACACATTTAGATTTGGATAGTGAAGCAAAAACTGAGAAGAAATTAGAAAAAGTAGAAGTTAGTGAACTTGAGGGAACACTAAAAGAAAATTCCAAGTTAATCGGAAAAAATGAAAGGAAGGAATTAGAGGATCAGTTGCAAGAGGCCAAAGCCAGGGAAGCCAAGGCCGTTGCTGAATTGAACCAGAAAACAAAAGATGTCCTTCATTACCAGTATGTATATTCCTTTAATAAAAAATCAATCTCGTTTATCGATGATTTACAGAAAAATTATGGAAGAATACGAAAAAACAATAGCTACCCGCCTTGCAGACTGTCAGAAGTTGAAAGAAGAACATGAAATAGCGGCACGTCATTTAGCCAATATTGAACTGGCATTTTCTGATCTACATCAGTAAGTAAAACAGTCTTCAACAAACTAGTATGGAATGAAATGTATTTTTTTATTTAGGAAATATGAGAGAACTAAGGATCTGTTAGAAGGATTTAAATCGAATGAAGACACTTTAAATGCTGCTCTGCAGGCTTCCGAGAACACAATTAAGCTACACGAGGAGAGGTATGAGGCCTTAAAAGCGCACGCAAAAGAACAGATAGGAATGTAAGTAGAATATAAAAACTATTTTTGTAAACAATAATGTAATAAATATCTTTTTTTTTTGAAATATACCTATATTTACTTTTTTTAATCCTAGATCCAACAAGGAGATACTCACGTTAAGGGACAAGTATGAGATGGCTACTAATAAACTTATGAGTATTATTAAACGTTTAGAAATTAAATGCGCTTCCTTAGATATTTCTCTACAACAGAAAACTCAGGAATGTGCTGCTTTGGCAACTCTCTGGGATGAGGTTACAGGAAAGAAAGTGTAATAAATTAATAATAAAAGTAAATTAATTATTATTGAAAATGTGTTTTTCTTTTGTTTCATTCGTTCTTATATTTATTTCTGTTTTTCAGTATCAAAATGATGAGGCAAATTGGGTAAATATCATCAAGGTATCTTGACCAAACCGTATTTTGTTTTTTAATATACAGTAATGTATGGATAATCCAAATGGAATTTTACATTTTCCTTACCTGATACCAGTTGACTTCTGTCCAGACATTTCTCCAAAGTTAAGGAATGATTTTACAAAAAATAAAATAAAATAATAAACATGGTTTTAGTAAATTAAAAAGTTTGTACCTATTTCAATTATGGTTGGTATAAAATATTGTCACATTTTTATAATTTTTGCTACGGAGATCTAACGCCTTTAGCCACTAAATTTTCCTGGTCTGATACTAGTTGATTTCTGTTCACAGACATTCAAAAAAGCTTTTACAAGTTGTTATTTAATTAAACAGTTTTATTTTATATAAAGTTAACTTTATAATCTAGTACTTTTAGAGATTTTTGTAAAAAAAAAATATATTTTAAATAAAGGGTATAGCAAAAGTACCGGAACGGCAGAATAACTTGGCGGGAGAGCATTTTGGAAGAAAATATTAAATACAAAAGTTTCAGGATTTCTCCCAGGCTATCTGATGGTGACCTTGACATTTACCTTGAAGGTCATTTCAAGGTCAAATGTGATTTTTCAAATGGGAGCCTATACTTTTCACCTCAAAAATGAAATGAGCGAAAAATTTTACGTTCAGATATGACCTGGAGTGACCCCTTCCTTTTGACCTTGGGGCCCTCACAAGGTCAAACTAATAAAAGTACAGGAACGGTAGAATAATTCGGCGGGAGAGCATTTTAGAGAAAAATATTAAATACAAAAGTTTCAGGATTTCTCCCAGGCTATCTGATGGTGACCTTGACATTTACCTTGAAGGTCATTTCAAGGTCAAATGTGATTTTTCAAATGGGAGCCTATACTTTTCACCTCAAAAATGAAATGAGCGAAAAATTTTACGTTCAGATATGACCTGGAGTGACCCCTTCCTTTTGACCTTGGGGCCCTCACAAGGTCAAACTAATAAAAGTACAGGAACGGTAGAATAATTCGGCGGGAGAGCATTTTAGAGAAAAATATTAAATACAAAAGTTTCAGGATTTCTCCCAGGCTATCTGATGGTGACCTTGACATTTACCTTGAAGGTCATTTCAAGGTCAAATGTGATTTTTCAAATGGGAGCCTATACTTTTCACCTCAAAAATGAAATGAGCGAAAAATTTTACGTTCAGATATGACCTGGAGTGACCCCTTCCTTTTGACCTTGGGGCCCTCACAAGGTCAAACTAATAAAAGTACAGGAACGGTAGAATAATTCGGCGGGAGAGCATTTTAGAGAAAAATATTAAATACAAAAGTTTCAGGATTTCTCCCAGGCTATCTGATGGTGACCTTGACATTTACCTTGAAGGTCATTTCAAGGTCAAATGTGATTTTTCAAATGGGAGCCTATACTTTTCACCTCAAAAATGAAATGAGCGAAAAATTTTACGTTCAGATATGACCTGGAGTGACCCCTTCCTTTTGACCTTGGGGCCCTCACAAGGTCAAACTAATAAAAGTACAGGAACGGTAGAATAATTCGGCGGGAGAGCATTTTAGAGAAAAATATTAAATACAAAAGTTTCAGGATTTCTCCCAGGCTATCTGATGGTGACCTTGACATTTACCTTGAAGGTCATTTCAAGGTCAAATGTGATTTTTCAAATGGGAGCCTATACTTTTCACCTCAAAAATGAAATGAGCGAAAAATTTTACGTTCAGATATGACCTGGAGTGACCCCTTCCTTTTGACCTTGGGGCCCTCACAAGGTCAAACTAATAAAAGTACAGGAACGGTAGAATAATTCGGCGGGAGAGCATTTTAGAGAAAAATATTAAATACAAAAGTTTCAGGATTTCTCCCAGGCTATCTGATGGTGACCTTGACATTTACCTTGAAGGTCATTTCAAGGTCAAATGTGATTTTTCAAATGGGAGCCTATACTTTTCACCTCAAAAATGAAATGAGCGAAAAATTTTACGTTCAGATATGACCTGGAGTGACCCCTTCCTTTTGACCTTGGGGCCCTCACAAGGTCAAACTAATAAAAGTACAGGAACGGTAGAATAATTCGGCGGGAGAGCATTTTAGAGAAAAATATTAAATACAAAAGTTTCAGGATTTCTCCCAGGCTATCTGATGGTGACCTTGACATTTACCTTGAAGGTCATTTCAAGGTCAAATGTGATTTTTCAAATGGGAGCCTATACTTTTCACCTCAAAAATGAAATGAGCGAAAAATTTTACGTTCAGATATGACCTGGAGTGACCCCTTCCTTTTGACCTTGGGGCCCTCACAAGGTCAAACTAATAAAAGTACAGGAACGGTAGAATAATTCGGCGGGAGAGCATTTTAGAGAAAAATATTAAATACAAAAGTTTCAGGATTTCTCCCAGGCTATCTGATGGTGACCTTGACATTTACCTTGAAGGTCATTTCAAGGTCAAATGTGATTTTTCAAATGGGAGCCTATACTTTTCACCTCAAAAATGAAATGAGCGAAAAATTTTACGTTCAGATATGACCTGGAGTGACCCCTTCCTTTTGACCTTGGGGCCCTCACAAGGTCAAACTAATAAAAGTACAGGAACGGTAGAATAATTCGGCGGGAGAGCATTTTAGAGAAAAATATTAAATACAAAAGTTTCAGGATTTCTCCCAGGCTATCTGATGGTGACCTTGACATTTACCTTGAAGGTCATTTCAAGGTCAAATGTGATTTTTCAAATGGGAGCCTATACTTTTCACCTCAAAAATGAAATGAGCGAAAAATTTTACGTTCAGATATGACCTGGAGTGACCCCTTCCTTTTGACCTTGGGGCCCTCACAAGGTCAAACTAATAAAAGTACAGGAACGGTAGAATAATTCGGCGGGAGAGCATTTTAGAGAAAAATATTAAATACAAAAGTTTCAGGATTTCTCCCAGGCTATCTGATGGTGACCTTGACATTTACCTTGAAGGTCATTTCAAGGTCAAATGTGATTTTTCAAATGGGAGCCTATACTTTTCACCTCAAAAATGAAATGAGCGAAAAATTTTACGTTCAGATATGACCTGGAGTGACCCCTTCCTTTTGACCTTGGGGCCCTCACAAGGTCAAACTAATAAAAGTACAGGAACGGTAGAATAATTCGGCGGGAGAGCATTTTAGAGAAAAATATTAAATACAAAAGTTTCAGGATTTCTCCCAGGCTATCTGATGGTGACCTTGACATTTACCTTGAAGGTCATTTCAAGGTCAAATGTGATTTTTCAAATGGGAGCCTATACTTTTCACCTCAAAAATGAAATGAGCGAAAAATTTTACGTTCAGATATGACCTGGAGTGACCCCTTCCTTTTGACCTTGGGGCCCTCACAAGGTCAAACTAATAAAAGTACAGGAACGGTAGAATAATTCGGCGGGAGAGCATTTTAGAGAAAAATATTAAATACAAAAGTTTCAGGATTTCTCCCAGGCTATCTGATGGTGACCTTGACATTTACCTTGAAGGTCATTTCAAGGTCAAATGTGATTTTTCAAATGGGAGCCTATACTTTTCACCTCAAAAATGAAATGAGCGAAAAATTTTACGTTCAGATATGACCTGGAGTGACCCCTTCCTTTTGACCTTGGGGCCCTCACAAGGTCAAACTAATAAAAGTACAGGAACGGTAGAATAATTCGGCGGGAGAGCATTTTAGAGAAAAATATTAAATACAAAAGTTTCAGGATTTCTCCCAGGCTATCTGATGGTGACCTTGACATTTACCTTGAAGGTCATTTCAAGGTCAAATGTGATTTTTCAAATGGGAGCCTATACTTTTCACCTCAAAAATGAAATGAGCGAAAAATTTTACGTTCAGATATGACCTGGAGTGACCCCTTCCTTTTGACCTTGGGGCCCTCACAAGGTCAAACTAATAAAAGTACAGGAACGGTAGAATAATTCGGCGGGAGAGCATTTTAGAGAAAAATATTAAATACAAAAGTTTCAGGATTTCTCCCAGGCTATCTGATGGTGACCTTGACATTTACCTTGAAGGTCATTTCAAGGTCAAATGTGATTTTTCAAATGGGAGCCTATACTTTTCACCTCAAAAATGAAATGAGCGAAAAATTTTACGTTCAGATATGACCTGGAGTGACCCCTTCCTTTTGACCTTGGGGCCCTCACAAGGTCAAACTAATAAAAGTACAGGAACGGTAGAATAATTCGGCGGGAGAGCATTTTAGAGAAAAATATTAAATACAAAAGTTTCAGGATTTCTCCCAGGCTATCTGATGGTGACCTTGACATTTACCTTGAAGGTCATTTCAAGGTCAAATGTGATTTTTCAAATGGGAGCCTATACTTTTCACCTCAAAAATGAAATGAGCGAAAAATTTTACGTTCAGATATGACCTGGAGTGACCCCTTCCTTTTGACCTTGGGGCCCTCACAAGGTCAAACTAATAAAAGTACAGGAACGGTAGAATAATTCGGCGGGAGAGCATTTTAGAGAAAAATATTAAATACAAAAGTTTCAGGATTTCTCCCAGGCTATCTGATGGTGACCTTGACATTTACCTTGAAGGTCATTTCAAGGTCAAATGTGATTTTTCAAATGGGAGCCTATACTTTTCACCTCAAAAATGAAATGAGCGAAAAATTTTACGTTCAGATATGACCTGGAGTGACCCCTTCCTTTTGACCTTGGGGCCCTCACAAGGTCAAACTAATAAAAGTACAGGAACGGTAGAATAATTCGGCGGGAGAGCATTTTAGAGAAAAATATTAAATACAAAAGTTTCAGGATTTCTCCCAGGCTATCTGATGGTGACCTTGACATTTACCTTGAAGGTCATTTCAAGGTCAAATGTGATTTTTCAAATGGGAGCCTATACTTTTCACCTCAAAAATGAAATGAGCGAAAAATTTTACGTTCAGATATGACCTGGAGTGACCCCTTCCTTTTGACCTTGGGGCCCTCACAAGGTCAAACTAATAAAAGTACAGGAACGGTAGAATAATTCGGCGGGAGAGCATTTTAGAGAAAAATATTAAATACAAAAGTTTCAGGATTTCTCCCAGGCTATCTGATGGTGACCTTGACATTTACCTTGAAGGTCATTTCAAGGTCAAATGTGATTTTTCAAATGGGAGCCTATACTTTTCACCTCAAAAATGAAATGAGCGAAAAATTTTACGTTCAGATATGACCTGGAGTGACCCCTTCCTTTTGACCTTGGGGCCCTCACAAGGTCAAACTAATAAAAGTACAGGAACGGTAGAATAATTCGGCGGGAGAGCATTTTAGAGAAAAATATTAAATACAAAAGTTTCAGGATTTCTCCCAGGCTATCTGATGGTGACCTTGACATTTACCTTGAAGGTCATTTCAAGGTCAAATGTGATTTTTCAAATGGGAGCCTATACTTTTCACCTCAAAAATGAAATGAGCGNTTGGGACCTGGAATATAGTTCTGAAATTGCCTATTTTGATTTTTTACATTGAAACACAATAAATAGACCGATTGAAATAACTCATTTAGAGGGAAAGAAAGTAAATTGTTACCTGGACTTTTATAAGTGGAAATGGCAAAAGGGTTGATAATAAACGAAAAAAAAAATGAATGCGTGAGCAGGGGCGGCGGAGGGTTAATTTGGGGGGTTGAAACGTTGTGAAAAATTGCATCATTGGAATTTCTGACGAAAGTCGACGTCAAACAAAAAAGTATCCAATACAAAAGTTGTAGATCATGCAAAAATCTACAACTTTTGTAGATATCACTTTTTAACATAACCTCAAAATTTCCGATAAAAATGCGAAAACAGGTTTTTTTCTAATTTTTTGTTTTCTATTTCTCATTTCCACAAAAAAAAAATTAATTTTGAGGTTTTGGGGACACTAGGTGAAAGTATACCTTTCTGTATCTTAAATTAACCACAAATTGTTTTAGATAAAAAAATCAATAAGTTTTTGATATTCATTTTTTCGGTCTGAAACTATTTATCTTCAAAGAAAGATTCTACTTAGAAAAATCATCGTACAGAGTCCTGCAGGTGATAATTTTTTTCGTTTTGACATATACTTTTAGGTAATATAAAAAATCTGTAATTGCAGTTCAAAAACATGCTCAAATATGTAAAAAAATAAAAAATGACGCAACAATGAATTTTTCAGTAATTGTTGATAATTTGTTTAAATTTAAAATAAATTCAAAAACTTCAAATACATCGCTGCTATTTTTATGACAAAATCTGGTCATTTTTAATTGTGAATTAAATGATATTACTATTGTAATCGCTTAAAAAGTTTTTACCTTGTTTTAGCTATTATTATTTATATTATATAAATATATTTATATTATTTTTTTATTAGGTACAATTTTTTAAATTATGGATTAAANATAAATAAAAAATAAAAAATAAATTATTTTTAAATTAAATTACACAAAGTATTTTAAAAGTTATTAAAAAAAAATGATTTTCATGGGTGTCTGTATCGCCGCAGGGGGCCCTTTAAGGAAAATTTTTATAGCAACTTTTAACGTCCCCTATACAGGGTGTTTCAGGAATATATGCAAATATTTTAAATACGAATTGGGAATCGGAAAATAACAAAAAAAGTTCCTATGGATGTATGTCCGGAAACGATTCATTAAGGAGTTACAGCCGTTTAAAAATGGAGGTCAAAATCGAGACAATTTTTTTTCTCAAATTTGAAAACAGATAAAATCCTGAATTTTGGTACAGATGTTATACTGATCCAGGCCGATCTAACCAGTATTTTTCCGTTAAAATAATCTTATTTGGAATGGGTGAAATCAACAACACCCTGTATATTTTTCATGAAAACATTTGACTCGTTAGGATTTCAATTGTTGCAATACATCTTTTGTAGAGACAGATTAATTCTGAAACTTTTTCATCTCTTTCATCTTTATCATGAAATAAGTAGTTTTTGAGTAAAAAAAATAAAACAAAATTTTTGTTTGTATTTCAACGATCAATCTAACTGAGTGCCTATTATCTAAATAATAAGAATGTAAGACGTAACATGAAATAAGTTCAATTTATTATAATTCTTTATTACAATCAGGTAGTAGGTCTCAATAAATTTAAATTCAGGATTTTATGTTTTCAAATTTGAGAAAAAAATTTAAAACCCGACCGACATTTTTAAAGTGCTGTAACTCCTTCACAAATCGTTTCCGAAAATACGTCCATAGGAACTTTTTTTCTTATTTTCCGATTCCCAATTCGTATTTAAAATTTTTGCATATAATCCTGAAACACCCTGTATAAATCTGAAGGATTGGCCACATATTCTGGGACACGTGGTATAATCCAGAATATTAATCTAAACTTATTTTTTTTTTAAATCAAATGAATAATCACAGCTACACAAAAATCGATTTTCAGGTTGAGGTTAGACTATGTTTATTATACGGTTTGTGGGTAGCTGAATCCGAATCCGAAGTCCATTTAACTCTATCACCTCAGGATTTTTCATAACCTCAAAAAACCGATATTCTGAACAAGAATCAAGCTTCTTACGCTAAATCCAATTAACCAAATCTCATAAACATTTAATCCAATGATATCCCAGCCTAAAAAGCCTATGAACCCAAACCCCAATAACCCTATAACCTCATAATCAAGGGAATAAATCATAGGCAATCTGTATTATTGCAAAATATCACATAGCTGAGAACTACTTGAAAACCCAAGTACTCAAACCCAAATACTCCCATAATCCTATAACCCAATGACCTCATAACCGAGAGAATAAATCATAGGCAATCTGTATTACGGGACTGAGGTTCGTCCATTTCTTAAACCCATCTTACATGTGCCTGCCGTAGCGGCATAAAAGTCACAATCCAGAGAATCAGCTGGATAACGGGCTCACTCTGTTATAAGGTCATGGGGTTACGAGGCTATGGGGTAATAGGGTTATTGGGGTTTGGGTTCATGGGCTTATTATACTCGACGGCCAAAATTATAGATAGTGATTGATCGCTAGCTCTTGGACTAGTAAGGGGGATGAAGCGTGCCGGGAACGAAAATCCATTGGCGTGTCTGCGTAAAAGGCAACAAGATATAGAAAATATTGAAANAACGAAAAAAAAGATTACCAGCAGAACTGTGTACGATGTGTGTTTCAGACCTGAAAAAATGAATATTTCGGAAATTTCTTGATTTTTTTATCTAAAAAAATTTGTGGTTATTTAAGACAGAAAGATATACTTTCACCAAGTTTCGTTAAAATTAAATTATTTTTGCGGAAATAAGAAATAAAAAAACGAAAAATCAGAAAAAAACCTGTTTTTCACATCTTTCTCGGAAATTTTGAGGTTATCTTAAAAAGTGACCTCTATAAAAGTTGTAGATTTTTGCATAACCTACAACTCTTGTATTAGATACTTCTTTGTTTAAAGTCAAATTTCGCCAGAAATTCCAATGATACAATTTTTCACAACTTTTCAACCCCCCAAATCAACCCTCCACCACCCCTGCTAACGCATTTATTATTTTTAGGTTTATTATAAGCCCTTTTACCATTTCCACTTATAAAAGTCCAGGTAACAATTTTTTTTTTCTACAAGTGTTTGGTTGGAATGGATCATTAAAAATGAAAAGTTTTATGTTTTTATGCACGACTTAAGGATGAATCTATAACAATCGAAAGTCACTCAACTCTCAAGCAGTTCTAGTGGACTTTAAAATTATGCCATCTATCAACGAAAAGCAGAATTAAGTTCTTCTTCTTCTTCTTCTTCTTCTTCTTCTAAGTGAAAGCTAGACGTTATTTTGTTAATTGTTCGCATCGATTTATTTCACAGGTTTTTTTTATACAGTATAAGAAAAATGTTGATTTTAGAGATGTTTGCATTGGTTTATCTTACCTTCAGCATATCAGCCGCCTCTTTGCGCCTCTGAGCGATATGCTCGGACTCATCCAAGAGTTGATCCGCATTATCGGCCTTGTACAGGTGGGTGACAAGCTCGGACTGCAAATTATCCTTGACGAAATTCACCAAGAAGTGCATCACTGCCTTTGGTACGGTATCCTGAATAGATTTTCTCACTATGTAGAAGTATGACTTGATTAAGCGTTCTGAAACAAATAAAAATTAATCCGTAAACAATTACGTGCGATCCCTTCTCACCGATTATTTCACAATCGTGCTCCTCGTTCTCCGAAAGCTTTCTGTAAATGTTATTATTTATAGGTACTTGCGGTAACAAATTCACAGGTTTCTGTGGGCTCAGAACGTTTCGCAACTCGTCCGTCTTGGCGCTGTCCGGTAGATTATTGACGTGGTCGATATCATTTTCTCTCCCGTTTTGGACAGAGGTCAAGTTCGAAACCCATGTGGTGGCGTCGTCGTGGTTCAACTGAGGGTTGCTCGAAGAACGGCTCTGCAAACAAAAATATCATTGTTTACCTCGAGGTTTTTATTTTTTTCAATAGCTGATGGAAGTCGATGCAGCAATCCCTATTTGTAATCGAGTGGAAACATTTTTTTATTGATGATTTATAGAGCATGCACCGATTATTATTATTTTTTTTATGTTTTTCTACATTTCTTAGTTTTTTCTTAATTATTAAATACGAAGTGTTCAATAAAATTTGTTAATTTTTCGAGAAGAAACAAATAAAGAAATGAAATAAAAAAATAATTCAATAACTTTAAGTGTATCAAGAATTCACAATATACATGGTGCAACTTTAAGTGTGGATAAGTTTTTTAGGGTTAATAGTACTTATAGGGTATCCCAGAATATGTAGGCAATCTCTCGGATTTATACAGGAGATGTTAAAATAACATGACAAGTTCCTATAACAATTTTCTCTAGAGAGCCCATGTACGGAGATACAGGCCCTTAAAGGATGCCTCTAAAAATCGATCTTTTTAATAACTTTTATAATACTTTGTGTAATTTAATTATTTTTTAATACGATGGGCAACAGAGGATCCAACAATCTTCAATTCGCAGTCATATTAAAGAAAGAGTTTTTTTTCGAAAACAGTTCCTTTTATCAATATCAACCAAGAGTGCTTTTTTTTAGTTCAAGGTTCAAGCTATCTAAAAATTTTATTTTTGTGTCTTCATCGTAAAGCGTGTAAAGAAAATTTACATTATTGTGCTATTGGTAGTCTGTTCCTGGCAAAACAAATAAGGCAAATTGTTTTCAATGGATCAATTTTTAAGGAGTTTTATCTGTAGTTCATCATATTAAAACATTTTTAATTATTTAAGTATAAAATNATAATTTTCAAGTTCAGATTCATTCAGTTTGTTATTTATACTTATTTTTTTATTAATTGCACTAATAATTTTGCTTTCCGTTACAGTCGGAAATAAGTATGTGGAACATATCGTTTCCTTCTCAATATGCGACTGGTCACTAGATGAAGTACATATTTCAACATTTATTAATACTGGATGATTTTCAGCTACATCAGAAGTCAGAGGTAGGCCCGGATTCACTCTCACTGCCTTTTCGAGCAACGTATACCTTTTCTGTTCCATGTTGCTGAAAACAAAAGTTTTCGATTAGAAGAATCTTTGTTAGAGTTCTAATACAACAGAAAAGGTATATGTTGCTCGAAAAAGGAGTGATAGTGAATCCGACCAACCCATATTCACAAGGAAACGAAATGTTCAACTTTGCTTATTCCAACTATAACAGAAGCAGAATTGTTAGTGTTATAAATAAAAAATTAGAAGTTATTTTGATATCAATCCAACACGTCCAAATTCTGAAAATTATAACCTTGAGGAGACATTTTATCCCGTAAATAAAGATGTTTTCAGAGTCAGGCAAGAAAATGCTGCAGATGCTAGTGAAGCTAATTTGCTGTTAGTAAAATAAGAAATATTTCTCATGAGAGATCTATTGTATCTTTAAAAAGTAAGATGGGAAATGATTAATCAATTTTAGCAGCGGAATAATAAAGCTTAGAGAAAAGAACTTTAGGAGTTACCGAAGTTATAGAGAAGGAAGGATCATCTGACGACAGTGAGGAATCAAAAATTACAGTGATTAAACAAAAAAACTGTCTTGGAAGTTAATTTAGAAGAAAATATTTTTCCTGATACATCTAAAGCAAAAACAGATTGTACTATCTTTGATTTTAAATTGCAGTCGTCTCTAGAGGAATCGTCTGTATTAAAAGAAGGTGCAATAGAGGACACTGACAAAAATATAAAAGAGACACCATCTAATGAAATAAATGATTTTCAACAAGAAGAAATCCTTCAGAAATACCAACCATCAGAAGAATCGTCAAAGGACGAAACAGAGTCTACCGATAAACAAATTGAAAAAGAAGAGCCTTCCAAAGAAACGTCTGAAATACAATATGAGAAGGGACACAAAGACAATTCATCTGAATTTATAGAACAACCTAAATCAATAGAAGAGGAACAAGAATCCTTTAAGAAGGAGTCTGAGCTCCAATTTCAGAAACTCGAAATATGTCATAAGCATGCGGAATCTAGTTGTGAAGCAGAATTGGAAACATGCCGTATCTCAGAACAACCTCAAAAGCAATTAACATCAGATTGTGAAAATGAGGCTGAATTTAGGAAGGAGACAGAAAAACCTCAGACACATTTAGATTTGGATAGTGAAGCAAAAACTGAGAAGAAATTAGAAAAAGTAGAAGTTAGTGAACTTGAGGGAACACTAAAAGAAAATTCCAAGTTAATCGGAAAAAATGAAAGGAAGGAATTAGAGGATCAGTTGCAAGAGGCCAAAGCCAGGGAAGCCAAGGCCGTTGCTGAATTGAACCAGAAAACAAAAGATGTCCTTCATTACCAGTATGTATATTCCTTTAATAAAAAATCAATCTCGTGTATCGATGATTTACAGAAAAATTATGGAAGAATACGAAAAAACAATAGCTACCCGCCTTGCAGACTGTCAGAAGTTGAAAGAAGAACATGAAATAGCGGCACGTCATTTAGCCAATATTGAACTGGCATTTTCTGATCTACATCAGTAAGTAAAACAGTCTTCAACAAACTAGTATGGAATGAAATGTATTTTTTTATTTAGGAAATATGAGAGAACTAAGGATCTGTTAGAAGGATTTAAATCGAATGAAGACACTTTAAATGCTGCTCTGCAGGCTTCCGAGAACACAATTAAGCTACACGAGGAGAGGTATGAGGCCTTAAAAGCGCACGCAAAAGAACAGATAGGAATGTAAGTAGAATATAAAAACTATTTTTGTAAACAATAATGTAATAAATCTTTTTTTTTTGAAATATACCTATATTTACTTTTTTTAATCCTAGATCCAACAAGGAGATACTCACGTTAAGGGACAAGTATGAGATGGCTACTAATAAACTTATGAGTATTATTAAACGTTTAGAAATTAAATGCGCTTCCTTAGATATTTCTCTACAACAGAAAACTCAGGAATGTGCTGCTTTGGCAACTCTCTGGGATGAGGTTACAGGAAAGAAAGTGTAATAAATTAATAATAAAAGTAAATTAATTATTATTGAAAATGTGTTTTTCTTTTGTTTCATTCGTTCTTATATTTATTTCTGTTTTTCAGTATCAAAATGATGAGGCAAATTGGGTAAATATCATCAAGGTATCTTGACCAAACCGTATTTTGTTTTTTAATATACAGTAATGTATGGATAATCCAAATGGAATTTTACATTTTCCTTACCTGATACCAGTTGACTTCTGTCCAGACATTTCTCCAAAGTTAATGAATGATTTTACAAAAAATAAAATAAAATAATAAACATGGTTTTAGTAAATTAAAAAGTTTGTACCTATTTCAATTATGGTTGGTATAAAATATTGTCACATTTTTATAATTTTTGCTACGGAGATCTAACGCCTTTAGCCACTAAATTTTCCTGGTCTGATACTAGTTGATTTCTGTTCACAGACATTCAAAAAAGCTTTTACAAGTTGTTATTTAATTAAACAGTTTTATTTTATATAAAGTTAACTTTATAATCTGGTACTTTTAGAGATTTTTGTAAAAAAAAAATATATTTTAAATAAAGGGTATAGCAAAAGTACCGGAACGGCAGAATAACTTGGCGGGAGAGCATTTTGGAAGAAAATATTAAATACAAAAGTTTCAGGATTTCTCCCAGGCTATCTGATGGTGACCTTGACATTTACCTTGAAGGTCATTTCAAGGTCAAATGTGATTTTTCAAATGGGAGCCTATACTTTTCACCTCAAAAATGAAATGAGCGAAAAATTTTACGTTCAGATATGACCTTGAGTGACCCCTTCCTTTTGACCTTGGGGCCCTCACAAGGTCAAACTAATAAAAGTACAGGAACGGTAGAATAATTCGGCGGGAGAGCATTTTAGAGAAAAATGATAGATACAAAAGTTTCAGGATTTCTCCCTGGCTATCCGATGGTGACCTTGACCTTGAAGATCATTCAAATGAGATAGCCAGGGAGAAATCCTGAAACTTTTGTATTTAACTTTTTTCTCTAAAATGCTCTCCTGCCGAGTTATTCTGGCATTCCTGTAATTTTGTTAGTTTAACTTGTGGAGGCCCCAAGGTCAAAAGGGAGGGGTCACTCAAGGGCATATCTGAATGTAAAATCTTCTGCTCTTTTCATTTCTGGGGTCAAAAGTATAAGGTCTCATTTGAAAAATCACATTTGACCTTGAAATGGGTACCAAGGTCAAGGTCATTGTCAAGGTCACCATCGGATAGCCAGGGAGACATCCTGAAACTTTTGAATTTTTCTCTAAAATGCCCTCCTGCCGAGTTAAGTTTTCTGCCATTCCGGTACTTTTGCTATACCCTGTATATTAAAATGTGTTTTATAGCATGTTTAAAATACTTACACTTTTTCATAAATTTTGCTGTGCAATCTAACACTTTGGTCTCTAGATTTTCCTGGCCTGACACCGGTTGACTGCCATACATGAAGACTTTTAAAAAAGCATTTATAAATGTGTTATGAAAATTGGAAGGCTCTATTATTTCCAAAGCGTAACTTTATAATATTTGGATGCTTTTTAGGCAAGATTTTTATCAATTAAAATATTTTTAGTAAATCTCATAGTTATTGCTGTTCTGTAACTAGCATCTTTATGCTGTTTTTTGTTCTCCAACACATTTTTATAATTCTTGCTTTGTTAATACTTTAGCCTTTAGATTTTCCTGATCTTATACCAGTTGATTGCCTCTTGCAAACACATTTAAAAAAACTTTAATAAGAATGTTAATAAATTTGATTAGTCCGAAAAAAAACTTCACAATATTTCGATGTTTCTAGGCATAATTTTTATCAAAAAATATATTTTTAGTACATTAACATATAATCCAGTTCAAATAATTATGGTTGAAATAAAATATCGTTATACTGTAATTATTATTTTTGCTATTTTGTCCTTTGGCCTCAAG